AATCCAGCAAGAATTACTTCTAGAGAGAAACTGGCTTTAGAAAAAAATGCTTAAAAAAACACACAAAAAAAAAAAAAAAAGCTTTTTCTTTCAGAAGTTGAAGAGTACTCTTGTTTTAAGTCTGGAAACTGAGCAATGTGGTTACCCTTCTACCAGCTACGGGAAAGTTTTCTGCTCCAGATCTGCTGCTGTCAGAGCATCCTGGGGCTGTCAGGTTCCTGCTAACATTCCTTCTGACCCTGAGCTGAGTTGAGCTTCTGGAGCGATTTGCTGCAAACCCAGAAGCCTTTAGGGCTTTTCTAAACACAGGGTTTTGGGTTCCAGTTCCTCAACAGCAGCCCTAAAGGCCTGTTTTCCCCAGAGCCTGGCAGTTGTGTTAAATAAATGCCCCAAAACTCTTAACTGATTCCAGTTGTTAAAAATCTTTTGATAATAGTCTCTTTTGGTAATCCTTGCTGGAATGAATGGGATCTTGGTGGAAAATTTGTTACATACATTCCTGACTGAACTTAGTTTTACTACTTGAAGCACGCTGGTGAAGCAAGGGCAATAAAGAATACCTGCTTAACAGTCACCAGGACTATTGAGTCCTGATTTCAGCTTTTCATGGCATCACCGGTAAACTCCAAATTGTGGATGCTACTACAAAAGTGAAATCAAGGTGGGCTGAATCAGTACTGGAAGATTCCTTTGTGGTGTGGACAAGGGGAGGCGTAGCACGCTTCTCTGTCAGTCTGGAGCATGTTCCCTTGGCAATTTGTTCAGAGATAATGCTGACGGAGAGTATGAGGTGGGTTTGGAGTACTTTTGTTGTGGTGGTGATTTTTGTGGGGTTTTTTTGGTTGGTTTTTGGGTTTTTTTTGAAACATCCAAAGTAATGGGGCCTTCAGATAAGTCTTGGGAAGTGTGTCATTTACACGGAGAAGAGAAATTGCATGTGCTGCTTTTGGGAAAGAATCTGTCTCTTTATCACAAAGAACTTTTCATAAATCAAACATTTGCAGGGCTATGCTGAAGCTTACATTTATTTCATAATAATTCATACTAGCTCTCTTTCACTAGTGGGTGGGTGGGTAAGTAGGATGATTTGACACATTAGTGTATTATTTGTAACAGTGACTTTTTGGGAAGTGTTCACAGGGATTTTTTTTTTTTCAGGCGCATGATTGTTTGACTCATATTCCTTGTCAGACAGATTCCAGTCAACTCCTGGCTGCTTGAGCAAAGGGTGTAGTGTGGATCATTCACTAATAGGCACTACTGAGTGAAGTGGAGCTTGTTAGCCTCATGAAAAAGAAAAAAAGAGAATTTGTCTTTGTATTTGGATGTACTTTGGATTTGGATTTGGATTTAGCTTTCTGTGGGAACGTTTTCATGTTCTACAGTGAAAACACAGCAATTTCTCTTGTTTGTTGATGGCCTTGTTTTTGAAAGGGCATACCTCCTGTCCTTCTTCGTGGGGAAACTGTGTGCTGAACAATAACTAATTAAAATACATGATCCCATGGTCAATGAAGCCAAAATTTTAATTGGGCCTTTGAAGAATTCTAGCTGTTATAGCTGCTACAAAATGAACTAATCTGTAGCAGCTCACTCTATTCATAGAATCTAAGAATGTTTTGTTTAAAGGTCATCTAGATGAACCCCTGTGCAGTGAGCAGGGACGTCTTTTAACTAGATCGGGTTGCTCAGAGCCTTATCAAGCCTGATGCTGAATGTCTCCAGGGATGGAGCTTCCACCACCTCTCTGGGCAGCCTGTGCCAGTGTCTCACTGCCCTCATAGTAAAGAATGGCCTCTTAATGCCTACCCTCCTCTAGTTAAAACCAGTGCCCCTCATCCTGTTGCTACACGTGCTTGTAAGCAGTCCCTCCCCAGCTTTGTGTAGGCCACCTTCAGGTACTGGAAGGCCTCTGTAAGGTCTCCCTGAAGCCTTCTCCTCTTCATGCTGAACAACCCCAACTCCCTCAGTCTGTCCTTGCAGGGGAGGTGCTCCAGCCCTCTGATTATCTTCGTTCCTCTCCACTCCAACAGTGAATGTCTTTCTTATGCTGCAGGCCCCAGAGCTGGGCACAGCACTGTAGGTGGGGTCTGACCAGAGCAGAGTAGAGGAGGAGAATCACCTCTCTTGACCTGCTGGCCACGCTCTTCTTTATGCAGCCCGGGATGTGACTGGCCTTCTGGGCTGTGAGTGCACATTGTTGGGTCATGTCCAGCTTTTCCTCTATCAGTACCCTCAAGTCCTCCTTCACAGGGCTGCTGTCTATCACATCATCCCCCAGCCTGTGCTGATACCAGGGGTTGCCCTGACCCAGGTGCAGGACCTTGCACTCAGCCTTATTGAACTTCATGATGTTCACACAGGTCCACTTCTCAAGCCTGTCCAGGTCCCTCTGGATGGCATTTCATCCCTCAGGTTTATCATACTGTTACCTGTCTTCTCCTTGTCTGAAGTGGTTGTTGTAGAACACCACATGGGAAATGTTAGGTGAGACTTTATTTTTTCTTTCTCTTTTCTTTACAGGCCGGAACAAGAACATGAAATTAAGTGGACGGCCACACCGACATATTGGAGTGTTAGGCACCTCTAAGCTGTACGTGATAAGAAATCAAATATTTACTTTTACTCCTCAGGTGAGCATGTAAAGCTGACAGGGAAATCACTGCTTACTTAATGGCTAATTATTAGTGAAGTACTTTGCTTTTACATGCTGTCCCTCTAGGTAGAAGAGGATTGATAAAGCAAATGTATTTTACTTTGTAGAGTTTTTAAGAGCGTTGGTTGGTCACTGTGATAGGAGTGCTGATAAATCTGTCTTCTGTCATACAGAGTCTGAGTTCTGGCTTAGCAGAATGCAGCAAATCAATAGTATAGAGTTGCTACTGATTTCTGCCAAAACCAACATTCTAGCTAATGAAATAGTTTCTTCAGAAATAGGTGACTTAATCTTTCTGCTGATTGCTTTGATGGAAAATTTAGTTTTGCATAAGCATGCCAAGTACTGTAACCCACAAGAGACCAGGATAGAATGTTTTCATTATCTTGTTAAAAGGGTCAGTAGTGCTGGGAAAGGGATGCTCTGTCTTTGCTTTCTCTTTAATGCCTTTTTCAATGTATCTGGAAGTTTGGATCCTCCCAGAATTAATGGCTCTTATTTATATATTTAATGAAATACAGTAGACTTGTTCTAGAAATTGGTACTAGAAGGCCAAGGAGTCACCAACTCCAGATATGTGCAAGTGGAGCAGGATGCTCACACCCTGCTAAATAAATGTTGAGGACATTCAGTGGACTGCCTAGATGGCTTGTGCAGTGCTTCGTAGTGTCCAGATAACATCAGTTTTACTGCAAAAAATGTGGATCCCGTCCCATTCTTCCCTGTGCCTATGGATCACGAGCAGCTTCATAACAGATTGTTTGTTGTGTTGTTACCCCACACCAATTTTCACTCTTTGCAAGTTAGGGAAAACCTCCTTAGAGTTGTGATCTTTTTTTCAAAATCTCTCTTTGCCCACATCTCACTACTTAAGTAGAACACAATATTAAGCATGGGCATACTCATTAATATATTCTAAAATGGCATTTATCTTTGCATTGGCAACACAGATGGCTCCTGCTTATTCTGTGTTTGACTAAAACCTCTGTAACATTTTCTGTTGAATTTGTAGCCAGATATTTCCCCCTGGCCTTTTTTTTTTTGGGGGGGGGGGGGGGCAGGGTAATGGAATTAATGTTTAGTTGCACCTTTCTAGCGTTAGCAATTAACTCATCTGTGTTGATCTTGACTAATGTCCACAGATTTTGTGGTTTTGTAGTTTACATTTCATCCTATTCTGTAATGAAAACATTGATTAGGTGTGGGGCAAAGCCTGACCTCATTTAGATAGCCCCTTAAAAGACGGTTAATAACTACCTAGTTTGAGAACGATTTTTCAAGCAGTTCTGCCTCCTCAGATGTTTTTTCTTCAGCTTACTAGCGTGAAGATTTACAAAGCTGAGAGATACCAGCTATTTGCTTGTACCTACCATCTAACTGCTCCCAAAGAAGGAAGTTGGACTCATTTGCTGAGATTGGTTTTAAGTGTGACTGGCCATCATTTTTTATGATTCTGTAATTGTCTTGGCAGTCTTGAATCGGCTTTGTTTTCGTGTGCTTTCAGCCACTGAAATTGGCCTGACCAGTCTATGTTATCCTGGCTTTTTCTTTTTAGAGATAGGCTGTGTGTTTGCCTCTCTCTGGATTTCTGGGACTTGTTCTTCCTGAATTTTCAAAACTAATTGCAAGTGGCTCAGGGATTCTTCTGGCTAGTTCCTTAAGTTCTGTGAAGTAATTTCTCTGGACTTCACCAACTTTAATTTATGTGCTCTTTAACTTTTTCTTCCCATGTCCAGACTGGGCTCCTATGCTTTGATAAAAGTAGCGTTAAAGGTCATAATTTGCTACTTGTCTTCTGTCAGTAAACACAGCATAGAATGCTTCAGCTTCTCTGTATTTCTTCCTATGTATTTTCTTTCTTTATTAGTGGACCTACAGTTTCTGTGTTTTCCTGTTAATTCTAATGTGTTTACAGGATGTTTTCTTATTGACCACCATGTCTCTTACTAACTGTTGTTTTACATCCTAGCCTCCTTTTCCAACCCTCCCCAAGGCTTATGTACTCCCTTGTTGCAGCTGCTTTGTCATACTTTTCATTGTTTGTGTCCAGCTTTTTTAGGTTTCCAGCTCCTGAAGCAGCCGTAACAGTCTCCTGCTGTGGTTCTTAGCTTTCCCCTGCAGTGGGAACAGCACACTTTACCATTGTACATTTCATGTACCTTTTTTCCACAGTAACTGCCAGCTTTTCTGCATTCTGCTTGCCTTTCAGGTTATTCCCAAGAGACATAGTTACTAGTTCCCAGTCCCCACTGTATACTTAAGGCCATTTATTGTCTTCCAGATAGTAGGTTACTGTAATTCATCATTGGGAGAATTCTATTTCATGGGCATACTTGTCCACTTTTTATTTGTATGGCTTACTTTTTTTACGGTCAGCCTACAGGTGGAAGAAAATAGACTCTGCACAAGCATGGGTTTCGTGTTCACAGTCGCAGGCTTTGTTAGGTTAATTCATGCAGTCTCTGTTGTGGTCAAGAATAGCTCATAGGGATTTTGTGAATGATCTAAGGGAGGAAATGGGGAAAAAAATAAGGAGAGCACTGACAACTACTCATATGCCATATTTCTCTGTTCTCTAGTTTACTGACCAGCATCACTTCTATCTGGCTTTAGACAATCAGATGATTGTGGAGATGCTCAAGACAGAGCTGGCTTACCTCACTTCTTGTTGGAGGATGACAGGGAGGCCAACCCTGACATTTCCCATCACCCACACAATGCTTGGTAAACTTAATTTTCTCTGTTTCAAGCAGAGTAAATTACTGCAGGGGAGTAGGATGGAAGTCAATTTGAGAGTAGACAGGCGACATGACTGTTTCAACATCTGGATTCTAACATCTAAAGTGCAGTTTAACTTTCTCAAGCATATGCTGCATTTGGATGACATGGTAATATTTCATTCTGGTTTTACTCCCCTTTGATATCCTGACATCTGCCCATCATCTCTACACTATTCCTGTCCAAAGAAATTTGATAGAAGTTCCTTTGGATCTTGTCTTGAGTGGATTAGTTTTTGTCTTGAGAAATCCCTTTAGAATTTATCTCAGGATTGTTTTCTGTTTGTTTGGGCTTTCTTGAATAAGCTAGTATTGAGACCAGCTGTGGGTTCCGTTTTAAATTTGTCTGATTTACTTTGTAGAGAACGCTCAGTAA